CAGTGACCTAATGGAGGCAGGTAAATGCTAATTGTTTGACTGTGTTGTCCCCAGAAATTAATGCTTTAAAACATTATTCTGTTAATCCAACTAAATAAAAAGACAAATGGAGTTTGGCAAAACTAACACATTCAGTGATAAACTGGTGAGCAAGGTCTATCCAGGTTCTCTTGGGGTCATAGTAAATTCCAGAGTTAACTTCCCTCTGTTTTAACTATAGTTCAAAAGGAAAAGAATTTATTAAAATACAGAAGACAAAAACTCTCATTAAAATGGAAATATGTTGTAAAGAAAAAAGTCTATTTGAACAATCAGTTCTGTTCATAGCTCTGTTGTCCATGTACTCTGATCCTTTATGCTCATATATTTTTATTGGCATTGATTAAACCTGTGGTATAGGTCATTCTGTGTGCCAAATATATGTTACAGAAAAAATAATTAAGTGGCAGAAGGGTATTCAAAGTCAGGTACATCATTCTGAATCAGTAGCTATTCTAAATATTCTCATTTTAATTTTAAAGAATGATACTTAAAGTGACAGACAACAGGTTAGGGACATATATTCTTTTCACTTTTGCTGGCAAGTTCTTCATGGGTGAAAAATAATTGGGAAGAACATTGTTTTTTTTTAATGTGAAGGGTAATGACATCAATACCCACCAAGACATTCAGTACCTTACAAATTATTGACTCTAGATCATAAACTGCATTACACTTGCAGCTATATTAAGTTCTCTAATGAAACCACCACTTTAATATCAGAAAATGTACAGTCAAGTAAGATGACTGAAATGTCTGCTAGCTTTTTTCTTTAAACTGTGATTTCAGTTTTAATTTTTTAAGACTTATTATATGGAAGATTAAAGCACATTTTTCAGTGTATCATTTAAATCAGTCATGAATAAGCTGATACCAGTGGGCAACGTGTTTGAATATTTCATCACAAAGTGATGGAACGTCTTATCTTAGCTTGTTAGAGTGCTTTTACTCACAGGTCCAGTCTGCTCTTTTCTTTGACATGACCTGAATAAAGAATGACCAAAAAGTTCAGCAAGGACAGAATCCATGAAGTGTATCAATAAGAGAAAATATATTTCAAATTCTGTTGATATTATTGCCTTAATTAAATCAGCACTATGAAAATCATTTTCCAAGTTATTCAAACTTTCATAATAATGTTTGGCTTGTGCAAATATAATGTACTAAAAGAAGGAAATATTTCATCTGGTAAATAGAAACTAAAAGTTATTAAAATGGATTTTATTGTCGTTGTTTTGGTAAATTGTGGATCTGGTTATTTGTCTCAAAATAATTTTGTTTTGGACTCCAATTTACATTTCTCTCTGTGACAAAAGAAGCCCACCTAATCCCTTGTCACATTAATGAAAGAGAACTTGGTGTTAACATATTTAAGTATTTGGTAATAGGTGATGAGAAAATATACCACAGAATCTTATGTTGCTGATACTTCTAGAATGATTTTCCTTTCTTCATGATCCTCTTGAGATCAGAAGGTTTGGGAAGCCTTAGAAAGATTCAGAACTGTAAACTTTTTTTTTTTCCTCTGGGTACTGTAAATCAGGTATAACCATTTTATCTAGAAGCATTTGGATCAGTACAACAGTGGTACTGCCTGAATTATTACTATGCTGAATTGTTTAGATGGTGTTCTTTCAGACAGCTTCGACAAGCAGTAATTATCAGTCTCCACCTAACATGCTTTTCCCACTGGCATGCTATTCTTTCCAAGGGACACTTTCCCACACCTTGATATTCTTTCTGTGAGGCTCCAAAGTCCAAGTCAGCTTAATGTGACAATGGATTTTTGCAGATCAGTGAAAACGATGTAGGGTTGAGATTTTTCTTTCAACTTTCAGATTTGCAGAATGGCAAAAATTGTTCAAAATGTTCTGTGGCTTGCCAAGAATGAGGAGCTTTTCTCTTTGGGTGTAGAAAGAGCAACTGGGAATCCAAGAGAGGATCCCCAAGCTGTAGCTGGGAGTGCCTGCATTGTCTGCAGACGTTACTATTAAATCTGAATGTCTTTTTTTTTTTTTTCCCCCTTTGTCCCAAATATCTCAACAGTAGCTGTTACTTGTAAGTTTTGTAAGAAGATTAACAGATGCTAAATCTAATAGAAACTCAGTGCAGTTGTTCTGCTGGGACTTTGTGACCTGTTTTTCAGCTTTCAGTAGAGATGGCATCCAGAGGAACTTCTCTGTTGTTCTGCAGAGATGTCACTGCTGACTCAGGTTTAAGAGGTCATTAGGCTCGAGGTGAGCAAGGGGGAGATGCAGCCTAACACATCACCCTCAGCAACCATACAGAAACAGAGCAGATGCTGAAATGTTTGACTGCCTTATGTTGTCACAGTCTGTGATCAGCAGATTTTGTTCTCTTGACTGGTGATGTTGTATTCATATTTTGCCTAGAGGCCACAAAGCAAGCAAGAAGAAGTGAATATGTTTCTTGTCAGCCTGCAATTTGTCTGTATTGGCGCTTAACCACAGATCTTTCATCAGATATATTAATTTTGGGAAAATCTATTTTGTTTTGTGATCCCTCACACAATAATATGCCACAATTTCAGGTTTATACTTCTGCTTGCACTATTATGAATAGCATAATATATTCATTCAGCATACTAATCAACAGCATTTGGTATATATTTGTGTGACACAAGTAATTCAATGAGCAGTGGAAATGAGGAGGCCTGGCTTTTAGGGAGTTATGTCTTAAGAGTGAGCAACTCTGTGGAGCCTCTGTGTCTGAGGGAGGATGAGTTCATCCTACAACAGTGCCAACAAATAGGTGTGAGGGGCTATATTTGTTAGGTAATCATAAGTGTTCATGAATGTCTTTTCATAAGAGGGGACATAAATGCAAACTGTCCTCTCTCCTGCTACATATTTTTTTAGAAGTGGAAGTGAAGACTCTGACAGCTCACCTCCTTGGTCGTGCTTGTTTTAGCTGGCCAATAATTAATGTTAAGTTAGAAGGGAAACAAAACAGGCTGATAAACTTGCACTGAACAACATTGCGTAGGTGTTATTAGGCATTTATGGAAAGTGTGATGGAAAGCGTTATGAGATAAGCTAGATACAAGTCAGATATTAGCAGTGGTGTAGATTGAAGATTGTTTAAATAATTCAGAAAATAGTTAAAATGAATCTTTTTCTGCAAACAGAACACTTCAGAATTCACCTGATTCTTCAAGAGGGCTTTAAAGTGATAATTAAGTGTTTGAGAGGAGCTATAATACTTGGGGGATTATCTTGCACATAGAGAAGGTCCTATTGACTCTATAGCAGTCAAACAGACATAATTTTGAAGATCACTGAAGTTCCCTGAGAAAGATGATAGTTGCCAAAGTTCCTCAATATAACATTAAAAAAAATTGAGATCATTTGTAAGATTATTTAATTCTATTGGAAAGTAGACTGATACAGAAGAGTGAGTGGCATCTGCTGACACAGGTGAAGTTTGCTCTTGCATAGTAATGAATATAACTGTCCCAAATTAGCTGTGCCCTTAACTGTTGGAGTTTCCATCTAGACCATGTTTGCATGGCACAGTTATGCACAGGGATACTACAAGTAGTCTTGAATGTACTATCAAGGATCCTGAAAGTAATATAGCTGTGTTAGTGCAGCCTTCTGTCAAAGCTAATGAATGAGTGCTTCTCTGCAGGCAATGTAAGACTAAGGTGAGTGTGCTAATAAACACAGAAATGTTGCATTTTTTGTCTGTGCTGAGAAGCTCTGCAAGGCTCTGCACTGAATTCTAAAGGTCTGCAGTCCTAGAAGACTCATGCAGCATCCTCAGCAGTGAATGGCTCTCAGCACGTGGTTATATACATTAGCCATAAGAGGGCTAATGTGACTATTTGTTGGAAACATATAAGGAAATCAGTGCATTTATAGTTTTTACAACTAATACTGCAAGTTAATACCAATAAATGAGTTTTAAGTTCAATAGTTTTGTGGGAAATCCAATATATCTTGTATTCTGCCTTTCTGTCCAATTTTAAGTACAACAGTATGAAACGTGTATTTGTGTGTGTGTGCAGTTGTACAGATAAAAACAGGAATGCCCCAAATTTACACAAGATGCAAATATGGATGAATGTCTGATTTTCATGATGTAAACTGGTAAAATATGTGAGGAGAAAGGAGATGTTGGTAAATGAAATTGAACCTGACTTTTTGATTGAAAAATGCTGTATTTCCCTCATTTCCCTGCTGTTCCTTTCTCAGGCAGCAGCTCAGATTTGACAGCCACAATTATGAAATTGGCATACCAAAGGCAATCTTTTTGTTTCAAAGAGGTAAATTCCATTTAGTCTCAGAGCTACATGATTCCACTTCTGTCCACAGAGAAAAGTTGCATTTCCCCAAGGAAACTCATTGGAAAAGAAACAATGAAAAAGTCTGAAATATTTTTCAATCATAGTAATTTATCATGGCTTTCATATCTTTTAACAGTGTTTCTAAAAAGTGCATGCAGATTGTTTTTGGCTATACTGGGTTGTAGCATAGTAAGAAGGCTTTAAGACTAAATGCATAGCTAATTGTACATTGCATCTGGATTTATTTTTCTCAAAGTGAATGGACACGGAGAGTTTCCAAAACACTAAGCTCCATCAACTAATGTAAAAAATATATATATATAAATGTAGTTCAGAATTTATGTGAGCTACAGTTTTGTTGTAGAATGGATCTGACACAGTCTGTGGATAACAACACATAGTTGGATTCTCCATACATGGTAATAGAAATAAAAATGTTTAGTCATCTTCCTGGGCCTAATTAGAGGATGAATACATGAGAAAGAAAGAAAAAAAAAAAGTAGTCTGGAATGCAATTATATAGAAAATTTAATCTTATGTCTGACTACAAAGCTTTGTATGTTTGTATGCAATTGGTGGGATTAAAGTTGAAAGAGAAATATTCCTATATTCTTTATCCCTGATTCATCCTTGTTAATCTTTTTGTTTTTCTCAGCAGTTTTCTGATAAAATGGTTCTTCAAAATGGGCTTGGATTTAACTCTCCATATCTACCTCTTGCCTCCTGTACTTTGGAAGGTTTGAAAACCACTGCCAGGTATGCATTTCTCTTTGATGTGTTTGATGTCTCACTCTTCTCTGTTCATATTGCCAATTCATTTGCAGGCATTTTGTCTGGTATTTTACATTAGTGCGAATATGAATTCTTATGAACAAATATAAGTAGCAGCACAAGCTAGCAAGGTGAAATGGTAAAAATTTCTGAGTCTTTTACAAACAGAAGGGACTTTAGCTTTAGATCGGTTTATCATTAGTTAATATAAAACAGATGCTGCTAGTCCTAGGCTGTTCCAGGTAGCCTTCTTTCATTGTACACAGCAAGACTGATGGTCATAGCCCTGGCAGTCAGGTAAAACTGTGTGATGTCTTCCAGTGCCATGGAGTATTTTACTAATTAAGTCTGTGTACTGTTATTGGGCAATGATGTAATAGCTGTCATTGCTTTTCCTTGGCCTACTGCGTGATACCTTGTTGTTGCATAATGTCATTTAAATATATGTTGTGCGTAATATCTCCTAATACCACATGATTTCATTAGGCTGTTGTCCTCAGAAATTAAGAAGTAGCTCTGATGCAAGCAGAATTTGTTTCAATGAGCGTGGTCATTGAAAGCCAGAAGGATGGGTGGCTTGGTGGTTTTCTCATGCCTCTAGAACTGGAAGATCTCACAGCAGAATTTAGGAGACCAGCAGCCAATTCTTTTTCTTTTCCTGTTTTCTTTTCCCATCTTATTATTATTATTATTTTTTTCCAATCTGTAAAACATTTTTAGCTATTAGCAAAAAAATGGTGTAGAAAAGTCAAAAGCTTGCTGAATAAAAAATTAAATGAGAACTTGGAATGAAAAATCAGAAAAACCATGACAATGAAAAGGAGAAAAACATGAACTAGAGAGTTTTAACAAGCTACTACAACAATAAGGTTTGGGTCAGTGTAGTCTCTAAACATCAATCTGAAAGTAAGTCTTACATCATTTTAAAAAATAATGTGTTTTTAAAAATTGTCTATAGTTATGCAGATGCTGTTTATCATTCTGTGGCAGTACTGGAAAAAATGTCATTAAAAATAAATACTTTCACTTTTATGTTAAGGTTGGATTCTGATACTGTCTAAGCAAGGGCATGCTGGGACTAAATCTACTGAAATAAATGTCATGAGGTATATTGAAACAGATGCAGTTACATCAGAATAAGACTTGCTGCTCTTAACGCTCTTCTCTGTGCCTGCAAGATGGCTTAAATATTGCTGTTGGATTAATAGTGTAAAGATCATACAAATTATATTAGAATATTAATGATCACCAAGTGGCAAATAGATTATTCCAGAGGGTATTATGTGTGGTGGCAATTGAAACCACCATAATCCTCAAGCAAAGGAATGATTATGTTGTGCTTGTTCTGAGGCATGGGTGTCCCCATAAGTCAGCATGATCACAGAGAAGATGACTTCAGCTGTGAGGCAGTTAATAATTTTGCATTCAGATTAACTAAAAATATCTCCCTAGCTATGTAGAACATTCACAAAAGCCTCATCATGAACAAACAAGTAAACAAAAAACATTTTCTGTTAATTTAAGCTAAAAGGAGTAAACAAAAGAAGTCAGGGGAATTCAGTGTCGCACTCCCAGTCTGATGGTAACAGTTTATGGCCTTCCTATAACATACATGACTGGGTAGAGTGCGTTTTGTGTTGTGTTGCTATCGTATTGTATTCATTCTGATGAGAGAGAAAATTTAATAGCACTTAAACTTTGACTTGCACTGGACCCTGGAACAGATCTGTCTTTATTATGTATACATTGCCTATGCTTGCAAACTGAGAGAAATACAGCAGACTAAAAGCACAACAACAAAGAACTTGATGAAAATGTATTCTCACTGCAAAATAATATCAGTGCCATTATTATGTACTGTACTACCAGTCCTGCCCTCCTTTTCCTTTTATTCTTAATCTTTCTTCTCCTTTGGCTAAAATGTGAAATTTTCCATTTCCAAAGTTCTTGGTTTCTGAGTTGGAGCTGTACATCACTATTACAGTTGCTTTAAAATATTTAGAAATTGACTTGTTTTGTATTTCTATAAATTGGAAAGAAGACAGAACCAAAAATCTTTCTCCTAAAGCCCCATGAATGTGATCCATGTGCCTGACTCACTTTTGAAATGGGATAAAAGCCTAAATCCTGTAAGCTCGTATCATACAAGCCCCTTGATTTCATGTGGGAGCCTAAATACTTTAACACATGTAGGCTCTGAACACTTCAGAAAATATTAGCAGAATGTGGCAAAAAGATTAACATTCAAGGAATCTGATTCTTTAATCCATCTTACAGATTAATAGGAACAACAGATTACTTGCTTTAGTAAGAATATTTATTTGACTAAAACTGGGCAGGCTGGGGAAAGCTGTGTTATAGATGGAGTTGCAATTTACATGTGAAATCCATTATGGTGACATAATACTTATTTACTGGTGGAGGTCATCACATGCTTCTGAAAAACAAAAGAGTATAAATAAAATCTTTTGAGCTTAATGGATAATGTAATGTCTAATGTACTGACTCTCGTCACATGGCAATACTATAAATCATTACACTTCAATTTAATTTAGTAAGGACACAGAAGAAATCCATTTACTAGCAATTAAGCTGTGTTAGGATGTTGGTGGTACTTTCTTGATTATTTCCTTCGGATTTACCACAATGACCTGAGTTATAGAAACACTATTTTAAGTTAAGAGGAAAAAATGACCTGGGTTCAAGCTGAGAACAAATGTTCTGACAACTCAAGTTTAACTCATCTGTCAGTATCCCAGAGCTGTTTGCATTAAACAAGGATTTTTTTTTTCTATTGTGTTGGTTCTTAATCTTGAATATATACATGTATACTGGGAGTAGGAGGACGAAGCAAGAAGAGAAAAAAACAAACTAAATGAGGGAAAGCAAAGTAGTAGCAAAATGTAATCTGAAGTTTAACTTTGGGTAATGGAAACAGGCAGCTTGCTGAATGAAAATTTTATACCAAGAAACAGTGCTGTCTACGTGGAAATCAAAATGCTGTTGACAATAGTGGCTTCATATTTTAAGTCTGACAGGAGAGGTACAGTAAACAATTACTGCTATTTGGATTAGATAAGAAATAGCAAATTTGCTTGAAGGAAATTGTCACAAGGTCTGGTGCAGTTATAAGCTGTTATGTAGTAAATCAAATAGAAAAAGATGACAGGTGGTTTGCTTTGGTTGAGAAACATAAGAAATATCTGACCTTTGCACTGCACATATGAGTAGATTACAAAATGCAATTTAATTCAGAATGGTAACTAGGGGAGGGCACACCACCAGCCTTCCTTGCAGGAAAAGACATCTGTCTTATCCATCACTCATTGGGAACTAACAGTGTTTTGTCACATTGCACAAGGTCAGTACACCCTCATTTTCCAAAAGTAGGGAAACTTCCTGAGGCTTTATGTTGGCTCCAGACTTAATCATGTATCCTACCAGCATTACTTGCTGCCTCTGAGATGCTACATAAACATTAACTAATTAGTCCTTGCCATAAATCTGTGAAATAGATCATTATTTTCAACATTGCCAACACCGTCATTTTTGCAGAGGGTAAAACTGAAAAATAGAGACTTTTAAAGGTATTTAAGCACTGCTTCATTCAGCATTGTGACACGGAAGACTTTGAAAGTATGACATTTAGAGCTTCTGCAGACACTAGTATCAGCTTTAAATTACTTAGTAAGGATACCAAAGCACCCAGGTGTGTGGCACCAAGACCAGTGGACTCCCTGCCGAGTCATCTCCTCCTGGCTGCATGTCAGGATGAGGCACGGAGAACATTTTTCCCTGTGCACATCTTTATTTGGAGTGCCCACCATAGCAGTCCATGGTGAAGCTGCTGTTGCCAGATTAACATATTTTCATGACCAGTCCAGCTGGATTAAGCATTGCATATGCAAACATGAGGCAAAAAATGATATTTTTGCTCTTTCTGCTTAGCAGTACATCTTGAATTACTTCCTGTGCACTGGTTTGGTTTAAACAGGAGAGGTAAAACATCCATTTCTCTCCTAGAAGAGTTCTGCCAGTGATGAGGATTATCTGAGACTGAGGAGAACATCAAGACTATTTCCTACTCCCTGATGGCTCCTGGCATTGTCAGGCAAGCTTTTATATAAAAGAAGCCATCACTTGTGTCAGAGACAGTGCTTTGTAACAGGCAGTCACAGCCAACATAAAAAGTACATTAATATCTTGGAAGGAATGACCAGCTTTCAGAAATGAAGCCCATGAAGCTCTGTGGGACACCAAAGATTTGCCCAAGCCTCTCTAAAGCTACATCAACAGATCCCACTGAGTCTTGTCTGAGCACTATACTCAGATTTTAAGCCTCAGCTTCTTGTTCCCTGCTACTAGAAAACTACTGGGTAGGGCTAGTACTGTTTGACAAACTGAAAATGAAAAGGCCCTTTGCAAAATTAAAATGTTAAATTTGTAATTGGTAATATAGGGATCAAAAATTATAGTTGAAGTTCTGTATTAACTCAGATATAACATATAAACAGATGACTCTGTGTCCAATCAAAATGATTACACCCGTCTGAATTTGAAATTGATTCCTATTAACTTGAGAGGATTTTATGGGAATTTTTAATATAAAAATATTCTCAGCAGAATTTGAATAATGATAATCAATAGTCACAAGTTTTGACAATTCTTACCCAGGGAAGTGTCTCAATATATTAAATGGTCTATTCTATAAAACTTATTTGCTTAGTTTGATTGTGAAGAAGAGTAAATATTTTGGTTGTGCTGAGAGCTGTCGAACAGAAATGAAAGATGGAAAAGACATATTAGGTCACCTTGAGGCCAAATTCACAGCTGCTGAAAGCTGGTATAATTCCATTGACGTCAATTCCTGTTCTTTTCACTTGGATCTGTGGCCACACAGCACCCCTGAAGTCCCTGACACCATGTATTCAATTTGTTCCATTTATTTCACCACAATTTTGAGTGCAGAGTCTTTTTTCTGACTA